TGAGACTCTGTCCGTGTACTCATTGACTCTTGACCTTGGCCTCTTGCCTAGAAAGCATTCTGTTTGGTTGGAGCACTTGTTAATTCTTCCTGTTGAAGTACATGGCCTCTTCCCACAGCCAGGGACTTAGTCATTCTCACTTGTTTGTTCCCTTCTCCGTTGTCCTCTGCCTTGTGGTTTTGTTTATGGTGTAACTTATTCTCCAAGCCTGTGTGATTGCTTGCTTTTGCTTTGATCACAAACTCCAGAAGGCATAAAGGAAAATATTGATACTCTCTAAAAATCAAGGCCTTCTCCCACCCTAAACTCTTGTTTTCTTCTGGTGTTTCTTTCATTTTATTTCTTATGTTAAAATTTGGATTCATCTGGAGTAAGCTGGGAATCCAATGTTACTCCTTTGCGAATGGTCAGTGACCAGTGGTCTGTGGTCATCAGCTAATCCTCTCGGACTTGACATGCCTCCCTTTTAAGACACGGATTTCAATATGTGTTTGAGTTTACTCCTGTGCTCGCTTTTCTTCCATTGGTCTGACAACTATTTGGTATTGAAAATTGAGACAATACCAACTTTTCTCAGTTACATAGTTTTATAATATATCTTAAATCTATGTAAACTGTTCTTCCCCCATTCCTTTTACTTTTCAGAAATTCCTCACCCATTCTTACATGCTTGTTTCTCCATATAAATATTAATAGATTATTTAAGTTCTCAGAATCATGCTACTTTTTAATTTGGGTTTCATAAATTTATAGATTAATTTGAGGAGAAGTTACATCTTTAAAAATGTGAGTCTATCTAGAAACAAGATTGAACTTCACCATCTGTTGAAGTCTTCGTTCAGGGTTCTCATGAGCTCTGAAATCATCTTTACTGTCTTATTTCAAAGCATTTCACTTTTTTTTTTTTGTTGACATTATAAAGGGTACCTTTTTCCCTTATATATTTAAACTGGTTGATATTTATACTTAATAAAAATGCTTTTGAATCTTGTACATTTTGGTAGGTATAAGATTGGTATTCGTGTACAAGTTACCAACCTTTCTTATTATTTCTAATAATTTGTTTAAAAAGTGATCCTTTGGATTTTCTCCATATAAAATTGTATCATCTGTCCATGATGCTACCATTGCTTCCTTTGCTGGTATTTGGTCTTCTTACATATTTCTTCTATTCCATTTTCACTCTCCAGATGTCGTTTTCTTATCTAATTGCATTGGTCAGTACTCTCTGTCTACTGCTTCTAGTGTTTGACCAGGTACATTTTGAGGGATTCTTTCCTGCATTTGAGGAGAGGATCCTATGGTTTGGCTTCTTTGACCTTGTATTATGGTGAATTATGCTGATAGAGTTTTAAATGTTAAGCCATTCTTACATGTCCACCTTCGGTCATGGTGTAGTACTGAATTCTGTTTGCTAATATATTATTTAATGTTTTTCTTTATAATATTGTGAGTTTGCATTGTGTGTGTGTTGTTGTTTTCTGTGTGTGTGTGTACTGTCTTTGTCAGGTCTGGTATTAGTGTTATGCTGCCTTTGTAAAGATAACATACCTTTTTCTCTCACCAAGCTCTGGAAAATTTGAAAGAATAGGAAATTAATATGTTCCTTCAAGTTTGTTTTTTAAACCAAAAATGAATTAACCCATGGAATCATCTGGCTTAGTGAAATTTGGAAGGCTGCCGGCGGTTTTCAGTAACGTGAAGAATTGATAGACAAATTCCATTTTGTCCTCGGAGCATTCTGAAATGAGCCCATTGTCATCTCTAAACTGTAACTCCCTGCAGAGATGTGAACTCTCAGCAGGAACAGAGTAGCCGCTGGGGCAGGTGGTGTGGGTGATGCCTGGGGTCCCAGACCCAGCCACACTGCTGAGGCCCAGGCTCCTGAATCTGATTTGTGAGCCGCCTCTCGGAGCATGGAACATGGACCGAGCTCAGCGCTCTGCGCTCACAGTTACCGCGCTCTCTGCGTTATCACCACTGCCCTCAGCACAGCCTTCCCCGCGGCAGCACAGCCACGCAGGAGCCCCCTTTTCACCCCCCCCCCCACACACACACACTCTGTGCTGGGCCGCCCTCCTCCCCGGGAGGGGAGCGGCCGGCCTGCCTCCCTCACCTGCTCCCCGTGTGGCTGGCTTCTCTCTACCCCGCTGAGCGTCAGTCTAGCCTAGGAGGTGAGGACACGGGTGTTGTTCGTAGACGAGATGAGCTGTCAGGTAGAAAGCAGCGGGGTGCAGCGGGCACCTGGGAACCCTGAGTCCGCCTCCTCGCCCTGGTGTCTCCCCGATACCTCGCCCAGCTCCGGGCTAGGGTGAGGACCGCCATGGGCTGTTTTTAGAGCCCAAACCTCGCCTGGTCTCCCCACTTCACCCCGCCAGTCGCCTGCCAGCCAGACTGCCTAAGTAACTTCAAATCTCAGTGCGCCCCGCCGTGAGCAGCAGCCAGCAAGCACCTGCTAGCGCCCTGGTCCTCCTGCCCGCTTCCCTCCGATCTCCACACTCCCGAGCCTGCCTCCGTTTCCCTTCCCAGCTTCCCCTTCACCGTCAGGCTCCGCCCTCAGCGCCAGGCCTTTGCACAGACTGTTGTCTCTGAAAGAGACAAGTTATGGCTCATGGCGTCTGAGGCCGCAGATGCTTCCTGTCCTCCCCAGGGCAGCTCACAGGGACTCACCGGGCCCGAGCATGGGCGTTAGTGGTGGGGCTTCCACGGGGAGCTGGCCAGGGGGTGAAGGTGCAAGCCCTCCGGGGAGGGGTGGGCAGTGTGCACCCCACAGCTCTGGAGGCAGCCCCCGGGGGAGTGCGCAGAGCCCGAACCTGCCGCTCCGGGCGTGGCTGAGGTTCTCAGGCACCTGGCTTGTGGTCTCCTGCTGCTCGTTCACACAATGGGAAAGGTGAGAAGACCTGTCGGTGGGGCGGGTTTAAACATTATTAGTAAGAGAGAGCTAAAACAGCCTCAGGTGGGTGGTAATTCTCAGCGTCATCTCAATCTTTCCCACAGAGTCATCATGGGGGCGGGAGCATGGCCCATCCACGAGCCGCCTCCCTGTCCAGGCGGAGCCCAAGGGATAACAGCAGACGCCCACGCCCTGGCCAGTCCTCCGTGCTAGGCTCCCTTCCCCCCAAGGCTGACCCCTTGGCTGACGGGCCCCCTTGGTGTTGGCGGCACCGTGTGGGCACACAGCCTCTCTCACCCTCCTCTGAGCCAGACCCCAGGTGCCAGAGGGCCAGCCTGTGAGCAGACCTCTCCAGGGCGGCAGCCCAGGCCCGCACTCTTACCCTTTTCCTGAGCTCCTCGGGGACTCCTGCCCTGGAGGGGGGGAGGTGTGTGTGTTGGTATGTCAGTGTGTGTGTATGTGTGTATGCTGTGTGTGTGTGTGTGTGTGTGTGTGTGTGTACAGGGAGGGAGGGGTGAAGAGGAGAGATTGGGGAGAGACCCTCTTCCTGGGATCCTGAGCTTGCTGTCGCTGTCGCCCGCGGGAGCTGTGACACACGGAGCAGCTCCGCTGGCCCACAGCCCCACTGGCACGCTAGCAGAGCCGCACACTGGAGCTGGAAGAAGGCGATTTCTCATTTTCCAACCAATTTTGCTGACCTGGTTTTCTTTTCTTTATCAACCCTGGTGCCAAGAAAGGGGATTGAAGAATGGAAGTAGCTTAATGGAATGCGCTATGTGCTGCAGGGCTGTGTCTCCATGGTGATGGGATACAGGCTGCATGCAGACGTGGGCTGAGATGCACTGAGACAGCTGTGCCTCTGATGGGGCCGGGTGCACAGATGGCCTCCTACACTCGCGTGAATACTGGCTCCTGGGCTCTGTACCGACGGGGGGCTGGCATCTTGGGGTGCAGGCCCAGGACTGTGTAGCTGATCTCCCTCCTCCCCTGGTTCTGAGGCTCAGGGAGTCGCACGCCCCTGGTGTCAGGCCAGGAAGGCAGCCCACGGGGGATATCGCCCTCTTAACAACTGTTCAGAGGAGCATTTTCGGGAGATCCCTTCCTGCAGCAGGGGCCTTGGATGGGAGGGGAGATGGGAGGGGCCAGGGAGGTCACGCCCACCCCAGGTGCCTCAGCCCGTCAGCACAAACCACCAGCAGACCCTTTAGCAGGGCCCACGGGCCCTTGGGAGCCCAAGGACCAAGGGCACAGCCCCGCCCTGGGGGCAGTGGGTAGTTGGGGGCACAGGTCACGGCTGATGGCCGCACAGTGTAACTCCTGATGGTCCTTGTGCCGAGGAACCCTGACCCAGACTCAGCCCTGGGATGCCCACTGGCAGGGATCTTCACATTCACGCAGTATCACCACGGTCACCCTGGTGGCCCTGTGTGCAGACTGGGGCAGTGTGAGCCATTTTCTGGGTGGGAGAGCTGAGGCCTCCTGGGTTCTGCTGGACCCAGCAGGCATGCGAGGCGGTCCTGGGCCCCGAGGGGCAGAGCGAAGCCGCAGGAGGACACAGTCCTGGGGGACGCGTGTGCACAGGGGCAGGCGGGAAGCGAGTAGGACCATGCCTGCCATGGTGGAGGGCGTGGTGGCTGTTTCCTCTTGGGCTTCCAACTTTGTCTTTTTAGTCCCGGCGATGAACAACGCTGATGTAGTCGGAGACGTACTGGCAAGAGGACATGTAGTGGGTAGGGACTTGGACCCGAAGTCCTAGCCTCACTCTGCCCCCACGAACGTGAAACCATCCATCCCTCCACCTCTGAAAGACCGTCCGTGAAACGGGCACAGGGATGGTACCCACCACACAGGCCCGAGGACGCGGTGGGTGACTAACGCATGTCTGCACCCCACGCGTGTAGCTGAGGGCGAGACCTCGGGCGGGCCAGCCCAGTGCTCCGTGCACCGCCCCATTTTGCTCAGGATCACACTCTGGTTTGCTCAGGGGCGCACTGCAAGTGAGCGACAGCTGTCCCCCCCCCCCCATGCCCCCCCATCCCGCCTCCAGGCTTGGAAGGCTGCAGGCCTGAGGCAGGAAGCCCCCGGTGACCCCGCTCTGTCCCCCCAGGTCACCATCCTGGTCAGCCTGGCGCTCGCCTTCCTCGCCTGCATCGTGTTCCTGGTGGTGTACAAAGCCTTCACCTACGACCACAGCTGCCCGGACGGCTTTGTCTACAAGGTGAGGCCTCCGCGGTGAGGTGACGCCGGGCACCGGCAGCTTCTGTGGGAGGGTGATCCGCGTCTTCCTCCCAAGGCGCCAGATTCTGGGTCCGCCCTCCCCGCGGACGGTTTAAGACGTGGCCAAGGGTTTCTCACTCGGCATGAAGGACTGGTCTCCGGGACTGCCAGTCCTCAGGCCCCGCAGTGATGGGTGCCAGGCAGCTGCTGAGGGGGCCCCAAGCCTGCAGCCCCACTCTGATGGCGCTCCTTCCCTCCAAGACCTGAGCCGGCAGCATGGCCCCGGGGCGTCTCCCCGCCCCTCTGAGCCTCAGCTTCCTTACCTGCCCGATGGGCATGTCAGCGAGGGGCCTTCTAGATCAGCCGTCGCCAACCTCCCACTCCTCAGGGACACCAGTGGCCTGGGGACCCCGGGCGGCGACCGCTGATCTAGAGAACCGCTCTCCACAAACGCCCGTCAGAACAGACGTCTGGTCTGGACTAGAGGGGGCATTGGCCTTCGTAAACTGCCCTTCCCGGAGCCAGAGGGACGATTCACACACGTTCCTGCGTGGAGCTGCCCCGTGGAGAAACACGGGTTCGCCCATTTCCATCCGAGGAGCAGTGGTTTCTGAGCCGGCACCCAGCAGTGCAAAGTGGGGGAGATGCATGTGGACGCCCCTTTAAGGCAGGCTCCCCAGGAAACGTGCCACGTGACCCCAAAGACACGTTCTGACAGGAGGCGGGCTCTGGGCGGTGGTGACACCTGTCATCGGGGCAGGTGCATACGCTGCAGTGTAGCCACGGGGTCTCCGTGCTGCGGTGACAGTAGGCGGGTGGGGGTGGGAGGGGGGTCTAAACCCCACACGGAACCCCTCCAGGATAAGACGGAGGAAGAGGCGCTGCCATGTGAGGGAAGGGGCGGGGCCAGTGTGCTTACATTGGCAGAAAGCAGCGCCCTGAGAACACACTGGAAATGAGGGAAAAAGGGTCCTTGGGGGATGGCTGGGGCCCAGAGCACAGGGCCCGGAGCCAGGCTCCCTGCACATGTCTGTGAATGCCTGCCCTTGATCTATTTCACAAATACAGAAAGAAGAAGGCATTCCGGAACGTTAAAACAAGCCAAACAAAGAACTATATCAGGTTGGGGACATGAACTCACAAAGACTTGAAATATTTCACATGACACTCCATTCCCCCCGGGGATGTGCGTTCTAAGGACACGGAGCTGCGGAGACGGCACTGACGTCCGTGCCATCAGCCGGCGTTGTTTGTGGCCATTTGCTGTGTGAAGTGTGGCAGGACAATCAAACGTATAATCACATCGATGGGTCAGGAAGCAAGGCTTTTCAAAAATATGTATTTTATTGGCCTCAGAGAGGAAGGAAGAGGGAGAGAGAGAGAAACATCAATGATAAGAGAATCGTTGATCGGCTGCCTCCTGCACGCCCCCTACTGGGGACTGCACCTGCAACCCAGGCCTGTGCCTTGGCTGGAATTGAACCTGGGACCCTTCAGTCCGCAGGCCAATGAGCCAAGCCGGCCAGGGCAGGAACCGAAGCTTTGATGGAGAGGAGACACAGAGCAAACTCGAGGAGATGGAGGGCCCCGGGCTGCGGGCAGTGCGCGGGGCTGGGGGTGGGAACCGCAGGTGCAGAGGGCCTGGCGGCCCGGCCAGCGACAGGAGGCAGCTGAGCTGGCACCGGTGCTCCCTTGTCCCGCCCCGGGAGGGTCAGCTCTGATGGCAGCCACTGGGGAGGCCGGCGGGTGCTGTCCCTGCTCTGTGGCTGGGCCCGGGCGGGAGCGGGCGGGTAGCAGGGTGTGCGCGGTGCTGACCGGCTCTCTCGTCCGCAGCACAAGCGCTGTATCCCGACCTCCCTGGACGCCTACTACTCGGCGCAGGAGCCCGCCTCCCGGAGCCGCTTCTACACGGTCATCAGCCACTACAGCGTGGCCAAGCAGAGCACCGCCCGCGCCATCGGGCCCTGGCTCTCGGCCGCCGCCGCCATCCACGAGCCCAAGCCGCCCAAGACCCAGGGCCACTAGGGCCCCCGAGGCCGGGGGGGCGGGGCGGGGGGCCCGCTGGCTAAGCCAGGCTCAGCCACCAGACGAGGCTGTCCCCCGGGGGGGGGGGGCGGGGGCGGGGCTCCCTCACTCCCACGCGTGGCGTTGTCCCACCGCTTTCTTTTCGTCCCGGTGTCGTCGCTTCTCCCCGTCAGGCTCGTGTACAAAGGCATGTTGCGTGTTGACCGTCCCCATGTAAGACATGTTCAAGGCCGCTGCTTAGTGTGTGTTAGGAACCATGGCAAACGGGAAAGGAGACAGAACGCCGACAGGAAAGGCTGAACGGGCTGCGTGTGGGGCGGAGGGCTGCTCAGATGAGGCCGCAGCTCCCGTGCGGGCTCTGGGGCTGCGGGACCCGGGGCCTCACAGGCGGGGCTCTGAGGGAGCCACGGCTCAAGGTCACCGCTCCCGGCAGGGGTGCCCTGCAGGTCGGACAGATGTGTGAGGGTTTCCCGTTCCCAGCCCCCTGGGCGGGGGGCGGGGGGGTCCGCAAACAGGAGCAGCTACTCCCTGTATCTTTGGTGATTCTATACCCTCACCGGCGCTGACACCTTCCTGATGGGCTGGGCCAGGAGGGGTGTGTGTGTGTATAGGGGGGGGGGGGGTAGGAGATGGGGGGAGGGTTGAGGGGGAGAGACTGCAGAAAGAGCTCTGTGGGCACAGGCACCCGATTTAAACTTGTTTGTTTCCCAAAGCGCTCCTAACGATGAGAAGAACAATGAAGGTAGCAACCAGGAAGCTGGGAGTGGGGGACCCCGAGGTGGGGGCCCAGCCAAGCGAGCTGTTTCTAAAGGAAGCACAGACTCAGGGCTCCTGCCCACACAGGGGTGTCAGCAGGGACATCCGTCCAACCCCCTGAGCTGGTTTAGACGCTCCTGACAAGGAGGCGCACTGGCCTCAGCAGCCTGAACCCCTCGGCACACCACGGTGCGCCCACAAACATCCTGGGGAGCCCCTCTGCGGCAGGCTCCGGCCGGGAGCAGTCATTTGAGATGAGGTTTCCCCGCGGAGCCCTGCCGGCCAGGCCGGGCCTGGGGGCTGCTGTGCGGCCTCATCGCGCAGCAGCTGGTCCCACAGCTGAGGCCCCCGCCCCACGCTCCCCCGCCTCCGCGTCCGCAGTCACCCACCTCCATCCGTCACCCCGAGCCCGTGACGCTGTCCCTAGCCAAGCCGCTGAGCGCTTCTATTTTGTGGTGTATTTTTGTCAGTAGGTAGCAGAGGCTGAAGTATTTTTTGGTGTAATTCTTGAACTTTTCTGACAGGAAACAAATAAAGATAGATGTGTCTGAGAGCGTGGCCTTCCTTTATCCTCTGCTCAGGGCCCGGCAGGGAGGGGCTGGGGCAGGGCCCCGGGGCTGGGCCGGGAATTGGGGGGTGAGGGGACCTCCATCCTTAGGCCTCGGGACCCTCCCTCTCCCAGCGGTCAGAGAAGCAAGAGCCAAGAGAGGCCCCTGGCCACCTCCTGCAGCCCGGGTCCCGCCCTGTGAGCGCCTGCGGGTGGGCCGTGCTGGCGGCTGTGCGGGCCGGCTCCCAGCCTCTCCCTGCCCGTGGCCAGGAGGCAGAGCCCACACGGAGGCAGCAGGCAGGGCACAGAGTCTGCGCCCCAGCCTGAGGAGGAGGATGGGGGTGAGCCGGCCACACGTGTTACCTCATTTAAAGCTTCTCATCGCCTTGGGAGGTTGGGGTTATGGACCCATTTGACAGATGAAGAACTGAGGCCCAGAGGGCTGCAGAGGTGCCTGAGGGCTGTGGCAGCTGAGCTGGATTCAAACTCAGGTATGTGCTCCTTTGCCGCTCACCCCGCTGCTTCTGTGAGACCCTGAGCCGTCCGCCCGTCTGTCTGTCCGTCTGTCGAGGCCGCGGCTCATCCTCAGACATCAGGTCGCAGTGTCACCGAGGCGCACCGCTGGTCCCCGGGCCGACCTGGGGCAGGGGTCACTGAGGGGGAGCAGCCTCAGGCTGGGGGAGGGTCCGGGGGGGGAGGAGACCGCACAGCCTGCGCCCTGCCTGGGACAGCCTGGGGTGGGAGGGCGGCTCCCGGTGCCCCCTGGGCCGGGCGGGACACCGAGATCCCGCATTCGGAGGCTGCGGGCGCCGCTGGCTCACAGTCGGGCTGGAGAGGCCGGGACGGCGCCCGGTGAGCCCGTCCGTGACCAGCTCGGGAGACAGACATTTTCCTGGAAAGTGGAGGGACCACCTGCGGGAGCGGCTGCGATGAGTTCGCCCCCTCCTGCCCGCCATGCGGCCCCCTCCAATCGGGAGCGAGCCGAGCGGGGAAAGGAGAAGAAAGAAATGCCCGGTGATGTTTCCGAGATGCACACGGCACCACCTCAGGGAGAACAGAGAAAACAGCCTCCTGAGCCGCTGCTGGCAAAGGGCTGGTTTCCATGGCAACGCCGCGCCAGTCCCTGGACCCGGCTCGGCCTGGCACAGCGGGCGCTGATCTGCCTGCCCTCCCCTCAGGAAGGGTGTGTGTCTGAGAACCCGGACTCAGAGCTCACCCCTGGGCTGCCCGCCAGAGGCCTCCCTGCTCTGGCCCGGACTCCCTCTCCCTCTCCAGCTCCCTCTCCTGATGGTCCTTGTCTGTGTGCCTCTCTAGGTCCCCGGCGAGCGCCTCGCTGGGCGGCTCCAGCCTCCACCACCTCCGGCCCCTCCCTGAGCTTTGCCTCCATCTTTGAAACGGGGCGGGGGGGGGGGGGGCGGGGAGGGGGGAGGGACCATTGTACCGACGACTCTTTTTGCAAGACCTCGACGAAATATTTTTAAAGATTTACCCGTAGCAGGTACTCAACCAGTGGTAGCTACTGTATCGTGAATAAGCATCTTTCACAGCCCCGGTGTTTTCAACTGTAAATGGGAATTATTTACAAATAGCCCTGCCCCCTGGGAGGGCTGCCCAGGCTTCGGATGAGGAATGGCTGTGATACACCGGGACCTCTCCCCGGACTTAGGACGCTCACGGCCTCAGCCACGCCCACCAGTGTCCTCAGGCCTGTCTCCCAGGCGTGGTGGGTGGCATTATGGGATGGGTGTCCTGTGGGACCCCGTGGGGCCGTCTCCCTGACCACCTGAGCGGGGGCCCCGGGAGCGGCCTCCGTGGGGGGCAGATGGCCCTGCTGCCATGGTTGAGCCTGGACTGCCGTCGGCTGCACACGCGGCTGCCTGTGAGGTCCACCCGCCCCGGGTGCAGGCTGGGCAGGTGCTGCCCCCACGGAGCAGGACTCGCCCCCACAGGGCTGCTGCCGCCCAGATCGCCCCGATGCGCCCCGCGGAGCGAGCGGGGCTGCTCTGATGCCGTCTGAGGCTGGCCCCTGAGGGGGTGGCTCCGGGCCTCTGGGGAGGGACCTCGTGCAGGCGATGGCCGTCGCTGCCCGGGCCTGGCCCTGGGCTGCCTGTCTGTAGCTGCAAAGTGACCAGCGTGTGGCCGCTCTGCCGGCCCGGGCGTGTGTGGAAGGGCCAGCTGTGCTGGAGGCAGGTCCCACCCAAACCCACGCCGCCCGGATCGGCGGCTGGTCTCACCCTGGGACTAAGGTGGACCCAGGAGACAGGGTGACACACAGCTCGGAGGGGACTGTGGGGGGAAGTGGCCCACAGCCTCAGGGGCCAGGGGCTCAGTGTGGCGACAGGGAGGACAGTCCACGGGGGTCCTCACAGCGTGCCCCCTTCCCTCCCCCCCTCCGCCCTCCCCATGAGCCTCCTGGTGGAAAACAATAGGAGAAGCCTTGCTTGGGCCACAGGAGCTGGGAAACAAACTGCCGACAGCCAGCTTCGCTGCTGGCTCGCCGACGGGGCCGGGCCTCCTGAGTCAGATGGAGCAGCTTCTCCATTTTGGCTTGAAGTCCGCAAAGGGCGGGGCATCTAACTGCGTTTGGGAAGAAAACAGGCGAGTCTTCCCAGGTCGCTGCGGCTTCTCCAGCACAAGGCGGGGCTTTCCGCGTTGCTCTGTAGCCCTTTGCTCAGTGACACAGGGGCAGCCTGGTGGAGCCCCACCCCCCGTGCCCCCCACACCGCCTGGCCTGGGGACTGCAGCCGAAAAGGCATGGGGATCTGGTCCTCTCCGACTCCTCTCACCCAGGCCCTCAGGCAGCGTCACGGTGGCTGAACGAATCCTGGGCAAAAGGATTTCCTTCCTCAGAGGCAAAGGGCCCTTCCTGCGATGAGAGGGGAGGGCGCCGGGCGCTGGGCGCTCTGCAGAAGAGCTGTGACCCGTGGAAGCAAGGCCTCCAGAAGCCGAGTTTGGAGAAAGGTGACAGCCAGCGGCGGGGCCCTAACGGCCATTCTCCGAGGCCCCCTGCCCCGCCGTGCGGTAGGGAGCTTTGTGTTCCCTTGTTGTGTCCGGTTGGTACGGAGATCCTCTTAAACCACAAGCTGAAAGGGCTGCAAGAGGTGGAAATGACTGTTTCTTGTCGGTTAAGTATTTGCTTAAGGACCGGATGTCATTCAGTTTTGAAAAAGATCTGCCCCTTGCCTTCATGGCAAGGCCATTTATTTAAACCTCCGGCCAAACCACACTGTTCGAAAACACCTGACTTCATTGCTCAGTTTACACAGATTTGAACTTGAGACGACTATAGCACTTCTGAATTCTAACTTTAAGGTAGACGGATAGATGAATAGATAGATAGATAGATAGATAGAAGATAGATAGATAGATAGATAGATGATAGGTAGATAGATAGATGATAGATAGATGATAGATAGATAGATGATAGATAGATAGATAGATGATAGATAGATAGATAGATAGATAGATAGATAGATAGAAGATAGATAGATAGATAGATAGATAGATGATAGGTAGATAGATAGATGATAGATAGATGATAGATAGATAGATAGATGATAGATAGATAGATAGATAGATAGATGATAGATAGATAGATAGATAGATAGATAGATACACACAGTCTTGGCTACCTGTCACCACCACGTGAGCCTCGTTTTCTGTAAATGACAAAAACAAAAACAAAAACAAAAAAACACAAAAACAAAAAACCAAAACCTCCAACAGGGTCGTTGGAGAACAAGTGAAATGACTTCGGTGAGGTGTCTGGCATGTGGCAGCACTCCGTGTGTAATTAACTGCCGACTCTCACTGTCACTGTGCCCTCCGTCCTGTCTCTCACCACAGAGCGTCCCCACGGCTGTCCGCACGCCAGGCTCTGACCTCCACGAGGGGGTGCCAGTGCAGGGAGGGTGAGCGCCAGCCTGCCCGTTCTGTCAGTGAACTTGTCCTGGAGCGGGCAT